ATCTTTCAGATCGAGTCGTTCTGTTTTATGGCACGGGCAAGTGCGCCTGAAATTGTATTTCCTCAAATGTTTGTTCAACACTCGAAGGTCCAAGATAGGGCGGAGAGAGCCGCCTTTCTTTGGAACCAGAAAATACTGGGAATAAAAACCCTGGTTCATCAGATTGGGGGGTACCACCTGAATCGCTCCCTTGTTTAAGAGAGATGAAATTTCCTCTTCCAGAATGTGAGAGGCTTTCTCTTCCGTGTGAGAAAAGAGAATGCCGTTGAAATGAGGGGGTTTTACTGCGAATTGCAATCTGTAACCCTGCGTTATTGTACGCATAACCCACTCGGGAGCTGAAACGGTTTGCCAAGCCGCTTTGTGACTCGTGAGTGTCCCCGCTCGGGCCAGTGCGGAGTTGTGTCTTGAGACCAACAGTCTTTATTTGTGATGCAATGGCGCCATCTAGTGGGCACACTAGAGGCGGCATGCAGGGGTTCGGAGGGAAGACAGAAAAGTTCGAGTTCGACAGAAAAGTTCTTTCTGTGGAGAGAGGTTTTCCCTCCGAAACGAATTCATTTGATTCATTTTTATTTGCGTTATGTGTGTTTTGTGTTGGGCAAACACTGGGGCCGAAGCCTTTAGTGGAAGAGTGAAGGGAACAGAATGAGGCCAGTGTGGTTTTGACACTGAACTTAACCTTCCTCTCGCCAGAGGCCCCCTGAATGTGGGGGGAAAACACACATTCCTTGAACACACGGGCTGGGCAGTCTCGACAGGCGGCGAGCTGACCCATCTGCGGGACTCCCGGGGTCTTTTGGATGGGGGTCCTAGAAGGAGAGAGGAGTCCAAAGGGCTCGCGGCCCGTGAACGTGGACTCGATGTCCCCATCGGCTGAACATCAGGCATGCCGCTTGCGTTCCGTTTGGTCGGTGGGGTTGGAATCGGCAGGTCTCCCGGCCGCGGCGGGAGCGGGCTTAACCCAGTGTTTGTTAACAGGTGCTGGGTTATGATGTCGTGGGGGTGGTTTGTTGCAGGGCTTTTCCTTGCCCTGGTGAAACTGACGTCCCTTGACCAGTGGGTTAGGCGAACGCACAGGGGGATTCTGGCGTGGGACTGACTTTCTCGGAAGGCAAAGTTTGAAAGCCTCATCCTCCTTCTTCTTGTCGTCGCACCGTTGTTGCATCAGTGTGATGGCGGAGCCACGCCCGCGATGCGCCGCTTCTCGCTGTCCGGGAGTCCCAACAGGTTCAGCCAGAGCACGCGCTCTCCCACCACGGAGAGCGCCATGGAGCGCCCGCAAGCTTGGACATCCTGATGAGTGTTACGTGTTACGGAGGACGAGGTCGTTCACCGTGAGGATCTCCTTCCAAAGGGTTTCGGAAGGATTTCCCTTTTCTAATTCAGCTTTGGCTAAGCCCCGCCCCCCTTAGTTACTGTTGCTACATCCGTCAAACTTCATCTGCACTCTGCGTGGCTTATGCTGTAACAGCTTCCTGCTGAAATGTTATCAAACTTTTAGAAAGCAGCAAATAAAGTGTCCGATAGAAGTAGGCAAAAGGGGCTGCAATATGCATTCGAAGGCTATATTCAAGACAAACAGGTGAAACGCAAGAAACAACAAGGCATCCAAAGTAGAGGCAAAAGCATAACGTTAACGTTACTGGTCAGTCAAAAAAACGAACTACCGCATTTCCTACTAATCGAGACGGAGACTGGGACTAACAATATCAGGGAGCAACACTGTTCATGCAAGCTGGGTAGGTCTCTATTTACTTCTATAATCGTTATTACAAAGCAAACGGACTACATGAGTATAACGTTGTGTTTATTAGCAGCGTGTGCTAGTGTATCAACAACCGGTATGAGAAAAGAAATCATAACCTAAAACATTATAAAATGGTCTAACTAATATAACCAGGCACCTTAACCCCGCTCAGGGGGGGGGGGGGGGGGCGGGGGAGGGGGCGGTGCAGCCCACCCTGAGCGGGGTTAAGGTGCCTGGCGATAGAAGGCTCAACGGCGGGAGGGTCGCCCATACCGTGAGCTGCCATGTCCTTAACTTCGAGTCCCATGAGACAGTGTCTGAAGTCGAGCGGATCGCTCCAGTAGTTCCTCATGTCCGGGAGGGGGTCCCAGCACTTTCCCGTCATAAATATCCCTCTCCTGGTCGGTGGCGCTCTGAGGTGCCGGCCATTTGATGTTGAGACGAGCGGCTGCTCGTTCACACACTTCCAGGAGGATGGCTTGAGGAAGAGCCGCGTGGGCGGTAGTCTGGGGAACGACAGAAGGCGGGATGGCCTCCTCGTTCCTCTGAAATCCCAAGAATGGCCGCATCCTTCTCTTCGCCAGAACCGGCCAGTTCGTGGATAAGAGCGAGGTTATCCCCGAAGATGTCCTCTTTGGGGAAGGCGGGATTGGGCTGGTCAGCCCAGACGAGTGACGATGCTCTCGAGAGGCCCTCGATGGCGCGTCGTCATCACCGTGTCCCCCGTCAGAGTCTGAGCACGTAGGGCTGAGCTCGGAGCACTGTGTCACTGCTACCTTAAAACGACGTTTAAGCAGCTTCCTAGGCAGCAGGAGCCAGAAACTGAAGTTATCTGGGTTCTCCAGGGCGTCCAGAGCGTGCTTAGGACCCAAACAGACAACGCAAAGCTGGTGGAGATCTTTAGCTGCGATAAGGGATCCACAAGCGGCTGGGCAGGCCCCAGGAGATGCCGTAGGCTTCGACAGAGACATACCAGCAAAAATGAGGGAGAAATCCGTGGCGAGCAGCCGTGATGTAGAAACGGTGAGAAATAACGAGAGCGTGGACGGCTCCGAATGCACAGAAGCAGTTGAATTAATCTGTCACGTCTGGTGGAGGCTGATCAGGCCGATATGTCCTCCTGTAGACACGAGGTGAGCAGAGTAAAACTTAACTGAGCTGAGATTGCAGAGATCGTGAGAAGCAAATGACAACTGAGGATTAGCAGCATGCCCAGATGTTATATACCCGTGGGTGAGGGGTGTGGCCTCACCGGGCATTGGCTGCGCGCTTCTTTCTGTCTAGCCAGACTTGGTGCAATTGGATGCGATCTGCAGAGGTCAGGTATGGATGTCCTTCCCATAGGTGGATCTCGAAACGAGATGATGAAAGAGAACTGTAAACTTCATTCACCAGTTTTCACTCTATAGCAGTTGACCAGAGCACTGAAATTATTTCTCACTTAAACTACAATCAAAGATTTCCCCACACTTTTCGCGTCAGTCCTCTATGTGGCATTTTATTATTTTCTGCGCAGTTTCAGAAGTGCAGCATAGAGGGAACACTGATCGCGATTAGAACAAAGCACAAGAATAAAACAGTTACAAAATTCTCAGCTCCTCGCTCCACAAAGTGAAAATAAACCAGCTCTTGTTCTGAGGTAAATGTCCCATGGATTATTCCTCACAGCCTCTGAAGACTCTGAAGTACATTAATCTGATCTGACTAAATATTGTCTGTTTACCGAGTTTATGTGGGCGTTTACAGTCTCAATGTGTTACTTCAGATCATTTGCGTTTGAATTGAGCGCGCTCTCCGTGGGCGTGTCACATTAGGAAAATAATGAGCTGTGAGAACGATAATGAGCACAGCTGACATCCCTATCTTTTTATATAGATTACATAAACAGAGAATACTTATTTTAGTTTTAAATAAGATCATTTAAAAGTACAAATTTAAATGATTATAAACATATACTGTTCATGCCTGAGTGAGTAGTATTTTGCTTAGTTTTGTTTAAGTTTAGATACATGCTCTAGAAAAAAAGTTCACAGAGAGAGTGCAGAATAGGCAGAATGCACACCATGTTTATTTTCTTTATTTTACAAAAGCACAATATTTATGTAGGTGGGCATATAAAAAAGTAGAGATTTAACAGTTTATTTTTACATATTTCTTAACTCTGTATGACCAGAAATGATGGAGTACTTTAAGTCTATTTTTCTGCTATGTGAAAAAAATCTGCCAAAACGCACCAGCGCGTTTGCCGACCTCTAGGGGTTAAAGGTGCACTATGCAGGATTATCACAAAAATTAAAGTATAGACTTGGACAAAAACAATCCCTCTCAATCATTACTTACGATCCACTAGAATTGTATGATATTTCCCTTTACACAGAGACCGTCCTCTGCCTGTATATTCTTTTTCCATTCTTCTATTTCTATACTCGGGATGTTTCTAGGCTGCAAACCAGTGTTGTCTGTGTCTAAAGCTCGTAAAAGCTCTGCTAAGTTGTCGTGTCGTCATATAAAAACAATTGGCTAATGTTGCTATATATATACAGTATATATACACTGTATATATACAGTATATATATATATATATATATATATATATATATATATATATATATGATTAAATAAATAATATAAATCATTTAAAAATAATATATATTTTTTAAATATTGGGTAGTGAAACCAAAAGAATATGAATCATATTAGTTGGCTTAATACTTTTAACAAATAGATATTTCTTTCAGTTATTTTCATGCTTAATTATGCCTGTTGATATGTATTGAATGAGTTTCTGTCACTTTCACTGTTCATTCTATTACGTATTTCATCTACAGCTCTTCTACAGACATTTTTCTGTAATAATGTAGGGAACCACATGCTACTGTATACACAACAGTTCATATTTTTAGGCAACATATACAATTTAATTTTAATCAGCATGTGTGGTGAGTGATCAGCAATCGCATGCAACACTTTGTCTATCTCGCGCTCACTCTCTCTCCCTATCTGTCAAGCAACTTTAGTAACAGGTGCACCGTGTAAAATACATTGTAACATTGAAATGTATTGTTTAATTTCTTCTCTTCCAATTTTGTTTAAAGAATGTATTTTATACAATAATCTCAATCTAAATTCAATTACAAGAACAGACTAATATTAACAAATGATTTTTAAGTTTTGATTAAGGGATATTTGCTAATATATATGTTTTGTACATTAAAAAAAGGTTTGAGACATGGTTGTGAGTTCTACTTACCGTGCCATTAGTTTGTGCAGCTCCAGTTTGTGCTGCTGGTCATCAGCTGCAATGGCGTGTTGTGCTTGCTGTTGCATCCCCTGCACAAAGTGCTGCATATGCTGGAATGCATCAATCTGAGAGAGATACAGATAGAACAAATGCCTGAATATATCATGCAAGTAAATCCCTGGAAAAACAGTGATGGATCATGCTCAAACCAGCAACTTGCTAGTTGCCAGCCATGAGCACCAACACCTATGCCACAACAGCTGATTTTCTAGAGACTTGAATAAGCTAGCCATTGCATTAAGTAGATACAAGATTTTCCTCTTAAATGTTCCCCATTTGGCAGAACAGACAAAAGCACACATTATTTTCCATCAACAAACTTGCCTATTCAAATTGTGTTGTAGTTCTTTAAACATTTCCTGAGGTGCAATAGTCCTCATAATGAACTGTAAAAAACATATTCTGTCTATTCTACTATTCTGTCACCAATTATTGAGTCTTGTGGTGCAACACACACACAAAAAAACTTTATAACCAGGCAATCTTTTTTCATCATTGAAAATTCTTGCTAATCAGAACCCCAAAAAGAAGCAAGAATTTTCAAGCTGCTATTACTTATTTTTTTGTGTGGAGATATTTAGGTTTAGTTACATTGATATGGGAGCCTAACTGGTGGACATAATGTGTTAAAATATTGTAATAGCTTGAAATATCTTTACAACATTGTCATGTGGTATGGACTCCATCTATTGGTTCTACACGGCATTATTCTTATATTAAAATAAGTTAGTTAGGTCCTATTCTGATTAGCTAAGAGCCTTTTCCAGCCATGCAATATTCTAGTTATAGTTTTTAGGTGAGAATGTCGTTGTTTAGTCCTCAAATATGCGATTTATACTGTATATAAACATAACGGCTGTTTGAATTATTTGAAAGCTCAAATACCCACGAGAACAGCATTATCTCGGCTAGTCCTTCATGAATTTGCCGCTGGCTCTTACATTTACAATTACATTTATTCATTTAGCTGACACTTTTATCCAAAGCAACTTACAATTGCTATACATGTCAGAGGTCGCATACCTCTGGAACAACTAGGAGTTAAGTGTCTTGCTCAGGGACACACTGGTGTCTCACAGTGGATTTGAACCCGGGTATCTCACACCAAAGGCATGTGTCTTATCCACTGCGCCATCACCACCCCAACATTTCTTCATTTAGCTGACGCTTTTATCCAAAGCGACTTACAATTGCTAAACATGTCAGAGGTCGCACAGTGTCTTGCTCAGGGACACATTGGTGTCTCACAGTGGATTCGAACCCGGGTATCTCACACCAAAGGCATGTGTCTTATCAACTGCGCCATCACCACCTCTTATTTGGATAGTGTGATATAATTTAATATACACAAGATATATAATTTGTTTTGGGTATATCAAATATATTAGACAGCCAAATCTTTGGTCATATTAACCCTCAGGTGCTCTTCGTAAAAAAAAATAGTCACACTTGTGCTCTTCGGTCAAAAATGACCGACCATAGGAAATGAATGGGAAATTGACAAAAACACAAAAACTTTGAGAATTTTTGTGTGTACAATCTACAAATCGGCCACGATGCAGAAAAAAGTGCTCAGCACTGAAGGGGTGACACTCTAAAATATCAAGAGTGCAAAACATACCCACCCCTACACACACACATACACAATTGTGATTAAAGACATCTGTTTTGAATATTTAAAAATAACAGCTTCTTTAGAAAATTATAAAACTTGGTGACTTTTATGGCATTGGGTAGGTGAACACACAAAAAAATTGAGGTTATGATTCGAGCAATTTAAGTGGTCGTAAAAAAATGAGTCACACTTTTGCTCTTCTGTCAAAAATGACGACCTATAGGAAATGAATGGGAAATTGACAAAAAAAAAATTCTCTGGATTTTTGTATGTACAATCTACGAAACGGCCACAATTCTAAAAAAAAAGTACACCGCAGGAAAGGGGTGACACTCTACAACATCTAGAGTGCAAAACAGACTCACCCACCAACACACACACAAATACAAACACACTTTTATACACATACACACCAATAAATTTTGATTACAAAAAGTATGTTTTGAATTTTTAAAAATCACAGCTTCATCGCGATGTTACGAAACTTGGTGACTTTTATGGCATTATGTATGTGAACACACAAAAAAATTGAGGTCATGATCTGAGCATGCTAAGTGGTCTTAAAAAAATAGTCACACTTGTGGTCTTTGGTCAAAAATGACCCCATAGAGATTGTTTCAACTATATATTCAAATCCACCAACAACAACAAAAAAATGTGTTCATTATTGAACACAAAAAATGTGTTCATTTTTTGGGTTAAAAATGTGTTCAACAGCTGGGGAATTCACATGGCTCTCCATAGAGAGCTGTACATGCCATCTAGTGGTTACACCATGATTCTATGCCTTTTCTCTATACTGTAACCAGATGGTACTAATTTTCTTCAAAAAATATTTTTTTTCTGAAGGCCTAGACTCTATATTAAACTAAAATACTGCATTAATATTTTTTTGAAAAAAAATAATATATATATAGAAAAATATATATATTTTCCCATGGCAAAAATAAACCATAAATATTGCATAAATATTAATAAATTCAATTAAATTGTCTCAAAATACTAAATTAAAAAGAATAAATATTATAGAACAAAAATAAATTGCATTGGTTTTACTGGGATGGAGAAAGTTTCATTTTCACTTTTGACCGGGAAGATAACAAGTGTGACTCCGAAACGAAGAGCACCTGAGGGTTAATGGGGAATCGCTAATGCCCCAGACAAAAGAGACATAATAAACTATGCATTTCTTAACATGCATTGCATTAAAATTAAGTAATGAGAGGAACGTCACCGATAGTAAGGTAGTAAAAGTCCAGTTTTTTCATTAGAAATATACACGAGTTAAAGTCTAAGTACCCAGATTTAAATCCACTCTTAAAAATATATATTTTTTTCCCATAAAAAATACTCACCTTCCACCTCTGGAAAAAAGCTACATAGTAACAAAGTATTTGTACTTCGTAACTTTACACCACAGAGTTGGGGGCAATGCATTACAAGAAACTTATTTTATGTAATCAATTACTTTTTCAAGTAACCAGTAAAGTAATACATTACTTCTAAATTAACAACAAAATATATAAGTTACTATTTCAAATAATTAGTGAAATAAATATAGTGCTATTGACCATTTTATATGTATGTCCTGAATAAAGATATGATGATGATGATGATGATGAGTTAATGAGTGAATTATTTGTTCCTAAATCCATAACTGTTGGGATTCAATTCAGTACGGCTAATGTAGGCTACCCCTTCATCCTACCCTAATCATAGACTAAACCATTCATCAGAAAACACACACAAATACATTTATACAATGTACTGTGTATTGGCCTACAGGTTTCAATCACACGTAATAACTAACCCTAACCCCTCACACACACACACACACACACACACACACATATATATATATATATATATATATATATATATATATATATGAATGCATACGAATTTATGTATGCCTATATTACACATACACATGCATAACCCTAAACCATTTAAATAAATTAATTGTGTGTGTGTGTGTGTGTGTGTGTGTGTGTGTGTCAATATATATAAAACCTATTATCTTCCAATAAACATTTACCTGGCTACATAACATATAACTACAGACTAGGTTCACGAGAGGTCGGCTAATGTGTGTATAAGTAAAAAATACAGTAATTTCATTAAATTACCAGCGAGCGTACTTCGGAAGCACTGAAAATGAATGGGGTTCAATGCTGGAACTATCAGTGGTTGGAACTATTGGCGGCTCCATGACACGCGTTACTTCCACATTCCTAAGTTACAATGGCGGTCTTTGGCAGTGACGGAACTCTCTCAATACATGGCTCTGGGCAGACTAACAGGTCTTTGAAGGTCAGAATTCTAGCTGATAGACAGATGTTCAAATACTTATTTGCAGCTCTATCATACAAATAAATAATTTTAAAAAATCATATATTTTTTTTTAGATTATGTCTCTCACAGTGGACATGCACCTATGATGACACTTTCAGACCCCTCCATGATTTCTAAGTGGGAGAACTTGCAAAATAGCAGGCTGTTCAAATACTTATTTTCCTCACTGTATATACAGTATGTCCATGTTCATTTTTCATACTCTTATGTAAAAGGCAACAGCTCTTTACAAGTGTAGTAGAGTAGAGCAACAAAAAGACTGTGAAGCTGAATGTAAAGCCACACAACTGTAGCAAATGCAACATTTAATAATACACATAAAATGTATTTAAGGGGGCCGGAAGGGCAATTTAGCTCAAAGGGAATGATTCGTTGATTTGCAATGAATCTTAACCGAATCACCATGGAACCGAGCAACTGACTCGTTTAGAGTTCATTTGAACGGGCCGTAATTATAACCTTTGCAAGGACATAAATACCCAATCTATAGTGAAACACTATGTATTAGCAAGGTAACTTTAGATCGAACAGTACAAGACATTAAATGTGCAAACACAACACAAGGCAATTATCTTTTCAAATAAATGGAAGACTTTATTAGCTATTCTAAACGCATAAAACTAGGGTCTAAACATAATCACACACACACACACACACACACACACATTCATGCAGTCGCGGAAAGGGAAAGAGTGAGTTGGAAAGAGTGAGAGAGAAATGAGTTTTCAGAGATGCACTTTGTAAAACACCTGAATGAACCAACAAGCATTAATTTAAACCTTCGTTTCTTAGAGAGGTTATTCAATTAACATTAAAGCACCAGTTCAGTTAGAGTCTGGAGTACTTGCTTGTCTTTGCGTTGCTTAGGGAATTCCCTTCATTGTGTTGCGTCGAAGGGGTTTCCCGGGTCCTCGTGGCTGGTTGTCTTTGAAGTGCCTGGATGGAAGTTTCGCTGCCGGTCACGTGTGATTAGCAGGCGAATGAGAGAGTCTTTGGAGTTGAAAGCGCGCAGGAGAGACGTGTAAACGTAACTTTGCAGCAAATTTAACTTTGAAACGAGACTTTCACAAAAAAGAAAATAAAGGAAAGAAATGA